TTCTGTTGCAGGAACTGTGACTGCTGCATTCTCGTCAAAGTTATCGAGTACCAGTGCGTCACAGCTAAATAGCAAAACCACAATTAGTACTCGATTCATACTGCTAAGCATTACTGGCTTCTTTATCGTGGTGGCTTTTCCCTATTTGATATTTGATAACCTCAGCCGTCAAGTTTGTTCATGGCCTGTTATTGGTACGTTCTGAAAGTTCCTTGAATGCTCATTTGCGGATATGGTGATTTTCTGAAATACGAAAACAGTTTTATTTTTAAATAATGTATTTAAATGTAATGGAAACAAGTTTTACATGCTGGTTAAAGATAAGCGTTGGTCGCGGAGGAAAATGCGGATTTATTCTATATATAGGTGTATCGCTGTTTTCATGCAAAAAATACGTTATACAGTTCTTCGCATTCAGCAGCTGCATTGGCACCTGAAAATTTACAATTTTAGGGTCTAAGTTCGCTTTAACTTCATAATTTTAAACTTGGCACCACCATCAATCTACACTTTCAAATATTTTTGAGTCGCGAAGTCGAATGTAAATATTTATATTAAACCATTTACCCAATCACTCACGTAAAAAATACCAACAATAAAAATGCGCGCGGCAAACTTCAATCACTGGCATGTTTTTACCTTTTGTGTTTTTGTTCTGCTTTGTCTTTTTTTTACCTTTTGTGTGGTTTTTGTTCTGCTTTTTTTTTTGTTTATTTATCAATTGCTTTTATTATTGCCGCAAACGAACATTTACATGAACTCACATACAAACAATGGTGTACTAAACGACTGCAAATTTTTCAGTGAACGTGCCACAACTTCCAGGCTTTCTGTCCCCTTAAAAATTAAAATTTTGACTTTGCATTCACCTGTGGTTTGTTTAGCTGTGTTAACACTACATTTTTACAATAGTTTTAATTAAATAAACACTTTTATTTATGCTTAAATTACAGAAATTGGTGCTCGTGAAAATTCGTGCAGCACGCAGTCAAGCGATCTCAGTATATCCAGTAAAAAAACTGTGGTGAAGTCCTTTATGGGGATAAAGTTTCCAGAGGTGAAATTTTAGGGAGTACACAATTTCTTACACGCATGGTTGCTTTTCAGCAATCTTGAAAGAATCTTAAGAAATGTTTGAAAAAAATGTTCATATAGTACATAAATTTTTGAAATAAATACCATATAATGTATGTACACTGGTTAATAATATCAAAAAATGTATTAGAACCACCATTTAATGTTATATTTGATACAAATTAATATTGCTGCCCCGAACGCTCTGCGCATTGCCACTGAATAATAGATGTACTTAAAATTACATCCCTGGTCCTTGTTCTTTCTGTATCGCATCGTGGTGAATTCACATTTCTCAGAAATTTTACAACAAAACAATACAAAGTGAGTATTTTATTTGCTAATTTTTGCGATTTCTATTGTTTAATGTAAATTTATGTCTTTTAGGATATGTTGAGGCAACGAAGAAGGCGCAGTTTGGAAATGGAGTTATTATTAATGAAGTAGCAGCCATATTTGGAAAATTATGCCGATAAGCAGGATGGAATTTGGGAAAGTAAGTGCCTGCTTGCAGCATATCTATGTATTAAAAAGTATTTAATTAAATTGTTTAATAGAAATGTTATAAATCGAGTGGCTCATTTACGATGTGCTCCAAACATTTGGCGAACTTTTTTTCGCCTTTTCAACGTGCTAAGTAACAAGTTAAGATGACTGCCCTCACGGCCGGTAAGAAACCGCAAGGAAAGAGCAGACAATCTTCCAGGAAGCTGCCTCCTGTCCCCGAGTCGAAGCAGAAGTTCAGCAAGAAGCAGGTCAGCAAACTGCTACCCTGATCAAACGTAAACTAAAGCGCTCTGCTGTGATTGCACTCTGTAAACGTGAAAACTTCGTGCATGCTGAGAAATATCAAACAAGAAAACTCGGTGATGGACGCCGTGGGATGAAGTTGCGCTGTGTGGCAAAGAAATGCGGCCAATTCTACGGGCCTGAAAAATCCAAATTGGCTTTTGTGATCCGTATCCGCGGTATCAACAAAGTTGCAACAAAAGTGCGAAAAGTGAAGTGAATTGATGTACAAACGTGGAATTGTCAAGCACAACCATCAACGTGTCTCAATCTCTGACAGCTTTGTGATCGAACGCAAATTTCGCAAAGCGCACGAAATTCAGTGCGTAGATTATTTGGCGCACGAAATATTTACTGTTGGAACCGACTTCAAGAAAGCCTCCAACTTCCTGTGGCTATTCAAGCTCAACACATCAACCCTAGGCTGGCGCAAGAAGGCTAATCACTACGTTGAGGTTGGTGATTTCGGTAGCCGTGAGGATAAGATCAACAAATTGCTGCACAAGATGGCTTAAAGAAATTGTTGTTTTGTATTTAAGTCGACAATATAATTTGGCACATCTTCAAAAGACGCCCAAGCAAAAAAAAAAAGAAAATTAAAAAATTCCTGAAGTTGCCTTTTCACGGGTCGATTTCTGTCGACTGGAAAATTTACTTAAGATATCGACTAGCCAAAACGCTTACATTTTACGGTTGAATTGCAATTTACACGGGTAGATTTTGGTTAAACGACAAAAATCGACCGTGTAAAGGCAGCTTAAATAACGTTCAAATTAATCATCCCCTTTGAGATGGAAAATACCAATAACCATTTCATAATTTCGAAAATTATTCCATTTATATTTGTTCTTGCATTTTCCACACCACTTGTGAGTTATGCTTTTACGCGCGTTACCGATTTTTTTTTTTAATGTGCTCGGTTGCCCAGGAGGCCTATTTTCACCTTTACAACTTAACTTAAACAGAATTAAAACTAAAGCATGCAATATATAAAGAAAATTAAAAGTTGTCTTACATCTAGTAAACTTAAAAAATTGCACATTAAATTCATTTTTCATTATAAAATAGAATTAAATATCACAATTCAGTTTACAAAATGTGGTCTGTTTGCACCCACAGTAAGTTCCCATGAAGCCTAGCCTAAATTCAGAATTGAAAAAAAAACGAGCAAATGGGGTCGGAAACTACTAGCCCTAAAAGCATAATGTGGAAAATGTTTGAAGAGCTGCGAAATTGGGTTGCAATAATAAAAATAACAGTGCATAAATTGGAAAAAATGGTTTTTGTTCTGCTTTATAATTTTTGGGAATATTGGTTCAGATGGAATTTTTTTATTTGTTTGGTTTTTCAGCTCGTTAATGATGCACCCAGGGTTGCATTTACTGTCTATGAAAATATTTCGTGAAGCGTTCCAAAATTAGCTCCGAGCAACTATAAGTTGGTTAAGCTTAAATGAAATAGGTTTTTATTAAATATTTATTCCTGGTATTTAGTAAAAAACATCAATACTAATGTATGAAAAACAAAACGTCAATGCTAATTTATGAAATGAAGTAAATAAAAATCTACGAATACATTCCATGAATATTTTGTCATAGAGCCATTATTAAATTTAGACATAACTTTGTCAGGCGTTGGTACTGACGTATATAGAATTAATGCGTTGGAGAGAGATAAATATACAAGTTCAACGCGCTAATTTAGGTATCCTTGTATGTGTATACCTGTTACTCGTCTGGCATATACTCCAACTGCGAAAATAATGACAATTATAATTTATGTAGATCCCTGGATAAAAGATTGTCACAAGTTACTTTCGGTAACTCACGATTGAAGTTTGGAATGCAATTTCTCAGAAGCACGACTACAGATTTTCTCCAAAGTGTCGGAGAATGCTATGTACTAGTTCATGAAATTCTTAAATTATCTTATTTTTTTAGTTTAGTGTCAACCATTTATGAGTTTAATACACTTTTGACGTATACGACATTTGTCAAAAAATTTGCAGTCAGTTTTAGTGATATACGCCAAAATGTGATAACAATTTTTATAAATTAACCATACTTTTTACTAATCAGCCTAATCGTGAGTTTCGCCCGAACAAAATTTCGCCAACAATTTTTTCATCCACCTGTAGTGAACACACGCAAACGAAAAGTGACCCGGTTCTAGAAAATGAAACTCATGATAAAGCTGAATATGTCGCAAACTAAAGAAGAACAGATAACTCTATTTGAAAGATCTTGATTAGTTTAGTACGACAGCAATACTAACGCAATTTGTACCAAATAACCGAAAAAATTTTAGTCAATCAGTCGGAAACTAAAGAAGATATCCAAAAACCACAAATTGTCAAAATGACGCTTCCGGTAATTTTCCATCCAGGCGACGATATTTGAATAGGTTTGTATGGTTACCAATAGTCAGTACTAATTTGTACTGGAACCTGCAAACTTTTACTGGAAAAGTGTATGATAACCCAAAAAATTCGCAAGAGAGCACTGAATCGAGAGCGTAACAACACGAGAGAGCTGCAAATTCTTGCTAGTGAAATTTTTACTAGCAGAAATTAGCTAGCAGAAGAAGAAGAAGAATAAATGTCAAAAGAATATATAAAAAGTGGTGTTACTAGCTCAGTTGGTTTTGTGTATGTGTTTCACCGCTCGGCTTCTGATATCAAATTGAAAAATTTTGTTTGAATTTCTAAACACACTTACAGATTTTGACAGTTTATGCCGCCAAAGCAAAAACAAAATACATGTAAATTTTTGTTTTTGTACTCCTGCTATCACCTTATATTGATTCGCCTTGGCACAAACAAAAGTAAAATGAGTGGAAATCATAGTTAATGATGTACTGGACAGTGTAAGTGCTTGTGTGTAAAGCAAAGAGTTTAAAACTGATTTATAAATAGTAAAATGTTTACAGCAGATTGTCAAAGCAGTGCAACAACTGTTCTCTTGCAAGTTTTTGCTAGTTTTGTGTTCAATAA